ATTCCCACTCCATCCATCCCTCCCCGCCTGCCGAGCTCTAAACCTAAACACTCCGGTGTGAGTCAGGTGGCTGCCGGCTGCTGCTCTGATTCACGACAGACCGCAGCTCTGCCCACCGTGGATAATCCTGGTCTCAGTCCAGGTTCCATGCTTGCTGACATCCTAGTCTCAGGGATTCACAGCTGTCAGTGAGTGTGGAACCAGGATCACACAGAAACAGCCTGGTAGGGGAGTAGCGTCACAGGGCCAAGCAACCCCCTAACACTCCCTGGCAGGAAAGCATGTTGCTGAATGCTTCACAGTGACTTTACAGTGTTCCAGCTAGCAGCTCTGCACATCTGTCCATCTACACCTGTATTACTACATTTCAAAGTGCTGTAGCATTTATGTTGATATAAAAGTAACATCAGTCCATGAGCTTTGTTTTATTCAACAGCTTCTCATACTGCAGCAATCTATTACCCAAAGAAATTTAAGGGATAAACTAAAAATACTGTAAGTTCATATGGCTTTAAAAGGAGAATCCTACATTACAGACTATAGCAAATCTAATGGAAACTAGGAAATGAAGTGCTACTTTTACTGCTTACCAGACCAGTTTATTAGCCAGGAAAAAGTAAGGTGAAAAGGAGCAAAGCAGAAGCAAAAAAGATCTCGCAATGACTGAATAGAGTAAAACAATAATCATTATATTCTTCAGCCTTCACTTACGTTAAGTCAGTGACAACCTCATTCAGTTTCCTGCTACTACCTAGTACAGGGATTGGCAACCTACGGACCAGATCCAGTCCACAAAGGGATTGGATTCTGTCTGTGAAGGTTTGATCCAGTCTGCATTTTACTAGGCATGCGCTGACTCCCCAACTGTATGATGCACTCTGCAATTTGCTAATAGCATGCCCACTACCTCTGGCTGATCCAGCCAGCTGCTTTAGCTCAGAGGGCTGATCTTCCTTGCTGCAGCCTCTGCTTACTGTCACTAGAGTTAATGGAGGGCTATGTTGAAAATCTCTGGGTTAGGGTCAGAGGGGAGAGCAACAAGGGTTATATTGCGGTGGGGATCTATTATAGACCAGGAGGATATGATGGATGAGGCTTTCTTCAAACAACTAAAGAAAGTTTCTTGATCACAAGACCTGGTTCTCATAGGGGACTTCAATCACCCTGACATCTGCTGGGAGGGCAATACAGCAGTGCACAGGAACTCCAGGAAGTTTTTGAAGAGTGTTGGGGACAACTTCCTGGTACAGGTGCTGGAAAGGCCAATTAGGGGCCATGCTCTTCTTGACCTGCTGCTCACAAACAGGAAGGAACTGGTGGGGAATGTAGTAGTGGATGGCAACTTGGGCAGCAGCAACCATGAGATGATTGAGTTCAGGATCCTGAGGAAAAGATGGAAGGAGAGCAGAAGAATATGGATTCTGGACTTCAGAAAAGCAGACTTTGACTCACTTTGGGAACTCATGGGCAGCATCCCCTGAGAGGACCATCTGAGGGGAAAAGGAGTCCAGGACAGTTGGCTGTACTTTAAAGAAACCTTACTGAAGGTACACGGACAAACAATCCGAATGTGCAGAAAGACTTGCAAGTACGGCACAAGACCAGCCTGGCTTAGCAGGGAACTCTTCAGTGAACTCATACACAAAAAGGAAGCTTTTAAGTGGAAACTTGGACAAACAACTTGGGAGGAGTATAAAAGTATTAGTCAGGCGTGCAGGGGTGAAATCAGCAGGGATCCGGGTTTATTGTTTGCCACAGAAAAAAGCAGGTTGTCTCCTTCAGAGGAGAAAAATGTGGATTTTCTCCATTGAAGGAGAAAACCATGGGAAATCACAGGTTTCCCTATGCAGGCTGACAGAGTTTCAGCCTGCAAAGGCCTAGAAGGAGTGAGATGCATGTGGCTGGGAATACAGACCCAGGCAGCAGCGCAGAACGGCTCCCACAAGTAAATCTGGGATGGGGGAGCATAGGTGACATGAGGGGGCGTAGATTGAGGTGGTGGCTGCCACAGTGAGGGAGGGAATAGGGCACAGCTGGTGGCTGGGGCTGGGGGTTCTGCCCAGCCAGGGCAGTGCCCAGGGCGGAAATGCACAGCCACAGGACTCAGCCAGGGAGTGTGATGGAGCCATGGGGAACTGGGGGCGGGGAGAAGGGGGGGGAAGCAGTTCTCTGTGATGCATCCGGGGGTAGCACATGCCCCCCCCAACATTTGTGCACCCACAGCAGGCCATGGGGCCCCAGCCTGGCTGCTTCCATGGCCCAGTGGGCAGCACCTGGCATGGGAGGCTGGAGTGGGGCAGGGAGACTCAATGCTGCTGCCGCCACCAGCAGGAAACCTACACCAGCCACACCGCTAGAGTGAGGCACCCCCTGCCCACCTGACAGCAGCAAGGGCAGCAGCAGCACTGCAGAGTCATGTCCTCCCACTTCTGCCAGGTGGGCAGGGGGTGCTTCACCATGGTGGTGTGGCTGGTACAGGGCTCCTGGTAATGGCAGCACTAAGCCTCCCCACCCTGATCCACCCCTCTGCACTGGGTCCGCAGAGGTCTCCAGAGGGAGAGCCCCAAGCCCTGCTGTGGGCAGCTCACATCCTCCCCTCAGCCCCCACAGGCTCTGCTCAGATCCACTTGGGCCATGCCCCCTGCAGGGGGAGGGAAGCTTCTCATGTGCATGGCAGCTGGGGCTTGGGTGCTATTGGCCAGCTGTGGCCAGCACCTGTGAAGCAACGGGAGTGAGGGGCAGCAGCAGGGCTGGGGATTGGGGGCTGTGGGTTGAGAGTGAGGGACACCAATGGGACGAAGGGCTATGGCTTGCGAGTGAGAGGCAACAGCATGGGCAGGGGCAGGGCATCAGCATATCTGGGTTGCTCATCACCACAAAGCAGCAGGGAAGGGGGCCATCCACAGCTGGACCCAAGTCCTGGTGAGCAAAGTGGGGAAGGGGATCTCTGACTTTCTATGATAAAAAACCAAAATCAAATGCCAAAAGATATAGGTATTTAGAATTTACTTTATTACAATGATTGAGGCACTGGTAGGCTTCCAAATTACTTTAAAATTCTAAACATAAATCTAAATATACCAATAAAACATTGTGTTCAACTGATACCTAGAGAGAGAGAGAGAGAGAGAGAGAGAGAGAGAGAGAGAGAGAGAGAGAGAGAGAGAGAGAGAGAGAGAGAGAGAGAGAGAGAGAGAGAGAGAGAGAGAGAGAGAGAGAGAGAGAGAGAGAGAGAGAGAGAGAGAGAGAGAGAGAGAGAGAGAGAGAGAGAGAGAGAGAGAGAGAGAGAGAGAGAGAGAGAGAGAGAGAGAGAGAGAGAGAGAGAGAGAGAGAGAGAGAGAGAGAGAGAGAGAGAGAGAGAGAGAGAGAGAGAGAGAGAGAGAGAGAGAGAGAGAGAGAGAGAGAGAGAGA